TAGTCTGAGTGTGCGGCCAAGATGCTGCTGGCGCTTTGCCAACAAAGGCACGTTCAGCTTTCGCGCACCCGTCCACTCACGACTGACGTCGGCAGAGCCGTACTCGCCGGTGCCTTCTGCATCATGCATGGAAATCGCCGGTCAAGGACCGCGCTAGTCATGCAGCGGGATGGGCGAGCATGTCACGAAACCAGCCTTCGCCTTCGGTGGAGATCCAGGATTGTGTGTGATTGTTTGCTTGACCTCCCAGCTATGTGCCTCTACCCCGTCCGAATTTCTCAAGCAATCACACGTACGATATGCACTATCGTTAAGCTAAGATGCGATTTCGATCTACAATCGTGTATCCCTTCCACCACCTCTGAACGCATCATCGGTCAAACATTGAGATCAAGTCAAGATGGACGGCTCCAGCAAACTACACGAGCAGCCCTCCACGGTGTCCAAGACGGCCCCGAGTCCGCAAGAGGGACACGGACACGCTCACCACTTGAAATGGGGCGAAGTTGTTACGAGCGGCTTTGCGCCTCCGTCCGCTGGCGAGGATGATGACTCTGACCTGGACGACCCGTGCCACAGCACCAAAGACGGGGCCGAGAGGCGTCGCAAGATGACGAGAGATCGCTCTCGAGAACAAGTGGATGCCGAAGCTAGACGCTTGCACGCTCAACGACGCTACCTATTTCGCAAGCCTAGACCTCTGCAGTACTTTAGGGGCAATGTCCTGGTTCGATCCAACGAGGAGCGCGGTTCTGGTCGACTCGAACTCTTCTTTGACTTGGTCTTCGTCGGCATCATCGCGGTACTGGCGCAGAGCGCTGTCCGTGAACCAACCGGAGCAAGCTTTGTGCGATACCTCTTGACCTACACTGCTGCGTACACCATCTGGAATTGGATGCGTGAAATGGTCAGTCTGCTTCTGGAATTGTGGGATCGACCCAAGTGTATTGCTCACACTCAAGATATCTCCTAAGTTCGACTCCTTCTACAAGGATGATTTCTCTCAGCGAGTACTAGTTGTCTTTGTGATGGCCTGTCTTACGCTTTACGGCAACAATGCGATCCACGCTCAAGATATGTTAAGCGAAGGTTCCGGGCGTGCTGTGGCCGTCGCCGCTTATTTGCTTGCAGAGCTTGGGCTGTTCTCCACCTGGTTGCTGTACTCATTGTGAGTTTACTATCAAGCACCTGTGTAATGTTTCAGCACTTACTACCTACCGCGGGCCTCAGCTACATTAAGGCGTACCGCGTTCAGATCAGGGCGCATGCTCTCGTATGGATCTGCACCTCTGCCATATGGATAGGAAGTATCTTCGTCGATAGTAGAGCTGCGATCGCCATGGTAACCGTTGCGCTTGTGGTCGAGTGGAATGCCTGGCAATTTTGCTATTCGCCATCGTTCAAAAGACTCTTCAAGCTGCGGTACTCCTCTGCGGTAAGTGGAGTCTCAAAGCCGTCGTAACAGGACCACACTGATGCTGACGGTGTTTGCACCGCAGATCGCTATCGAGCACGAGATTGATCGTTTCTCGGACTTCTACACGATCGTCTTGGGCGAATTTTGCTACTCGCTCTTTGATGGCAATCCCACCGGCTCTGGCTTCCATGAAGCAGCTGGAAGAGCAATTCTCTGCTTGCTGATTGCCTGGGCATTTCAGGTAGGCAGCCCTGCAATTGCGCAGGTCGGCGAAGGTCTTGCTAAAGCCGATTGATGTCTTTGCTGTTTGTGCAGTTGTTTTACATGAATGGCGGCTCTTCCAAAAAGATTACTCACCCTTTGCGCCACGTGAGTCTGTCGGCTCAGTCAAGTGCAAGACTCAGCCTGACACTGTTGTCCGCAAAAATGGTTAGGGAATGCATAGGGCATTGCTTTTCTTCAACCTCCATCTGCCCATTGTCAGGTGAGAGTGGCTCGCGCATGTCATCACGTGAATCTCAGACTGAACGTCGATTGGACCTTTTGGCAGTGCCCTTACTCTTTGTGGCGATGCGATGGCAGACTTGATCCACGAGTCGGCCGTCAAGTCAGGGGTGCGCTGGATAGCGTGCGAATCTTATGCGGTTGGTATGCTGGGTCTTTGGTGCCTCGCAACGCTCGAAGTGGAGCGAGACGCGCCGGGAGAACTCTGGTTTCCAAAGGTGAGTCGATATCCAGAGTCAAATCGACTTCCCTTGTATCTTGGCGCTGAAGGACACCGCCTCTTCGCGCGCAGTGGGCAAGGTTGACTCCTAGGCTGCTTTCGAGCATCGTAGCTGCCTTGCTTCCCTTGACACGCCAGAAGCTGGAGGAAGAAGTGGAGGGCACCGCTGAGGCGGTCCTGGTCGCGATAAAGAGAGCAGCAGCTGAGGGTGCTGAAGGTGTCCTACCCGATGCAGAAGGAAGTGAACCTCAGGTCGGATTTGGTCATGGCCCAGACATCACCACTACAAAGTTGTTAGGGATTCTGACCGCCCTCTCGCTTTTCACTTTGCTGTGGGAAACAATAAGCTCCCTCGATGGGCCTAATGCGCCCGACGAAAGCGCCTCGGATGATCTCTTGGAGCGCGCAAAGACTGTCAGCGGATACAAGCACGCGCTGCGAACGCCAGCTTGGAGAGGTGCGTAATTTTGCGTTGGTAGCGTACGTTTGCAGCATCGCGTGATGCCATGTTGACAGAGCTTGAGCTCGGTGCACGATCCAGGCTTCCCGAGGCTTGCTGAGCCTGGATCTGGAACTTTCGATCACTCGCATCAGCGCAGCCACCCTTCGAGTATTGCGCCAACTGCCGTGGTACCCACGGCGACTACCTGAGTCGACTTTCTTCACTTCGAGCGTTGCCCACTGCGCTTCATTGCACCTTCTATACCTGTGGCTAGTGTCTCTTGAGCGGCGCTCCGGAGTTCCCTTTTCTATGCTTTTGCTATGGCGGTTCGAGTGGTCTGAGGCTTTCTACTCGATTTACATCTTTACGACCAGCTGCGGCGACCAATCGCACACATCGAGACTCGCGCTGACTGCCCTGCTCATTCTCGCAATTCAGCAGTCGACGCTTCGATTTCGGCCCTTGTTGTCCCTCGATTGATATGTCCAGACGAATTAGTGTTCTCCGCTCTGCGTCAGCAGAGGAAAGCGGCCGCGTGCTCCATGCTTCCAGGCCGACGCTTCAGGCCTTTTGCACCCGTCTCCCTCCCATTCAACCCATGACCCTGTAACTTTGCATCGAAGTTTGAATGCAACGTAAGTCGCTCTTGAAGTATCAGTTCCTACACTCACGCTCGAGTCTCGTGATGCGACACTTGCGCCACCGTGAGCATGGCGCGCTATAGATGGAGTCCTGAGGCAAGTGTCAGCCTTTTGTGTGACAATGATTCAATCTTGAAATTCATTCAAAATTCAATTCTTGATTGATCGAACTCGAATGAA